AATCCATATTTACTTTCTAGTGTTCCAAAAGAATACCAAATTAGGCACACATTGTTATTGCAGCTCACCTGCATGCTTGTATGATCCAATATCTCTGAACTTTTCAGACTTACTGCCTGCAGGAGAAATGAAAATTTTTCACTGACAAACCTCTTCATGTTTGAAGCTCACTCATATAACCGTATTAGTATTCAAATGAAAACAAAAGCCATCAATTTACCAAATAAGTACACTAAGCTTGTTTAAATAAGAGCATGACACAATATGTAATACTAATATATGCTCAAAAAATAAAATAATAAACCAACCTCAAGTGCTTTGCAAACTTTATCAACCTCAGAAGCATAGTTGATCTTCGGAGAAGTCATTATGAGCTCAAGAACACCAACACAGGTCCGTCCAGAGGGTTCAAACACAGGCAAAGCTAAGGTTCCCTGAACATTGTAATGCTGAGCATGACCAAGCCGTGGATACTCTTTGATGGAGTAGTATTGAACATTTGGGGTCCATTCTGGCAATTTTTGTTGGAAAACACGGCCAGGGAGCCCAAGCATTCCATCACTCTCTCCATCCACAGAAAACATATACATCAGAGAAGCTATCCTATATTGATGAAGTCCATTAGTATGAGGATCAAGAACAAAGGGTTGCCCTGAAGTTGTGAGCACATACCGACCCCCATTCTTCACTGGTGCCCAAACCTGAGCTAGAACATGTTGGTCAGTCAATTCCTTGAGCTGTCTCAGAGCTTGAGTGATCTTCTCTTTAATTAAGCAATAAGCATCAGGATTTTCAACAAGTTCCAGTCCCAAAAAGGGGGATGTAAGCATTCTTCTGTCCTCATTCTCTCTTGGTATTTCCCTTCCTGGATCAGGAATACCTGCATTTTTGTGATATTATATGAGAGAAAACTCAAATGAGTGAACCTCCTGACTGCTACTCAACAACTGCAAAATGCTAACTGAAGCAATATGTTAAGCCAATGAAATGTGTTTTCAATTCCTAGGAATTTCAGGCCAAAAAGACAAAAGTTCCCATGAAATTTTTATTTTTTAGATGGTTGACTTCAAATTCTAAGAATATTCAGACCAGATAGAAGATAAATGAACAAGGAGAACTCATTTCAGAGGAACCAAGGTCTCCGAATTCAATTCCTGGCCCAGCAGGAATGTAAAAATGCAACCTTTTCAGTATAACAGGGTATAGTCTCTTTAGTTGCAGAGAATTGAGAAACGAGTAAAGGAAACACTTTTTGACCCTTGTTTAATTCGAAGAGTACAATTTTATTGCTCAATACCAAATAAATGTTTAACGTCAGGAAAAAAAATCTATTTATATAATTTTTTTTTAAAAGGACACGACCGCCTAGCCGCCTAGGCCGATTTTTCGAACACTGCCCAGGAAAGCATTTGTTCAGCTGAGTTCTATGATTATCACAGTGAACACACAAACTTCTATGATTCAGAAAAACCATATTCAATGGTAAGACAGAGAAAACTGATCGACCCAAAAAGAAAAAACAAAAGAACACAACCCAATATGAAAAACTCACAGGAACTGAATTGAGGACAGTCAGAAAGAGCTTGATCAACTTGTCCAGCGAGCTTATCATCATTATCAGCATCACCATCAGGAAACCCCATGAAGGAGAACAGGGCTGGTCAGTGGACGAGAACAAAGGAGGGGACGTGGGCTTAGAAGGAAAGTGAATCGGATCCAACGGCCAAAAAGCATCGAGGTCAAGATCAAACTCCATGAGCGCAGCTTCTCTGTCGTCCACTATGTTCTTTGACTTTGGCGGAATGGCTTGAGTTCGGCTTTCCTCTTCTGGCTCGACCATTTTCTGGGAAAGCAGTGATTTTTCTTCCGTTTTCTGGGAAAGTTCTCTCTAGGAAGAAAGGTTTTGAGAGGAAGAGAAGGATTCAGTAATGGTAATAATCTGCAGGGTTGGTGTGATTCCATGGAATCCATTAGTTGTTTTTTAAGTTTTTTTACAACTTGCAGTTGAGACCAGAGAGTGAATATAGTGGATAAAGTATTCCGGGGAATAATCATCTGTTGCAATCAACTGCCAAATAAGTCTACAACTTGGAACTTGTTTGTTCTCTTCTTTTATTCTTTATTTTTACTACTTACTTAGGTACGGTGTCAGTAACATGACGTGACATGTGTGGAATTATGAATTCAATAGAGAAGTCCAACTATAATTTAGACGTCCATTCTTTATTAAAATGAATTGTTGATATATCATTTATAATGTGTCGATATTAATTTCGACAATAAATATGTCAACATGTTATCGATACATTTTCGACAATATCGCACATAGAATTTATGTCTATGAGAGAATATTACTTGCAATCTGGGATATATCCTTTGTTTATAGCACTTGTCACATAACATGGTCACATAATAAGTGTTGTGGAGAAAGTAATATACTCCTCATGAGACATCAGATTTTCTCATAAACCTATATTATAACACAAGTATAATTTTTAGAGTTTATAGCCAATATTTGGTAATGAGTACGCATGCAATTTTTCAATTTTATAAATGTTATATTTGAATGAACTTATAAAAACACATATAACATATGCCACATGATATTACCGTGCCAGAGACGAAAATGGAACGCAAAAAGTAAGTGCGGACAGCCCATGAGGCAATTAGAAAAAGGTAATCCCAATTTTTTACCTGAAATTATTGAGCAACCTTCGTCACAAGGTCACTGTTGTTGTTTGTTATAACAAGTGACAGGCTTTTTACAGAGGCTAATGGGTCACTGCCTCGGGAAGTATCTTAATTAAAGGAGTTGTTAGCTTTTTTAAATGCTAATTAGCTTGATTAGGTCATGAACTAAGCTTGTTTAGTTTTCAACAATGGAATATAATTATATAATTGTTTGAATTTTTTTTAAAGTTATATTATTATATATAAGTGTGAAATATACATATGGAAGTTGATGTTAGAATTATAAAATATGGATATCAACAAACTACTAATACACAGTTGTTTATTTGGACGCCATCGAATAAAATATAAGTAATTTGGATCCATTAGTGACAATGACAAATCCACTGCATCTATTAAGATAATGATTTACTGAAGCATCAATAATTTAGTGATGCTAATTACCATAATTAATAATTTGGTGACACACAATCAATACGTTTACTTTTTCTGCAAATAGAAATTATCGATTTTGGTTGGCTTATATGGATCCACATCCACGCTTGTCCACTTGTCTCCCAGCAACTTCAGCTTGTTTGGTAGCAGGTATGGGCTCCTCTTGTCTTTTGGGGAAATCACGGTTCACAAAGCCGCGTATCTTATCTTTTATTTGGACCTCAAGTTTATTCGGCAATCTTGTGGGATGAGATTTTAGCCAGGGGATTGAACTAGGTTGGATAAAACGACACAATCAACATATGCTTATATGAAGTTTAGTTCAACTACTTATTGCTTAACCATATTCAGTACTTTAGTTGCTTTGTACTTGTTTTCTTGTCAATAAAATACTATCGCTCTTTTATTAAAATAACTAAGAAGTTTAGTCGTGCATATCAAAAGATTGCTTTGTTTTTTATAAGATTGTAAGAGAGTTCGGTTTTAATTATATTCTATATGTGAAGAAATGGGATCATCGAGAAGTTCAACATTAATATACCAATTAGTGCTAATCTAGTTTGTTTTAACTCTTAATCACGGGATATTGGTTATGTTAAAAATCATTTTGTCATTTTGATGAGTTTGGAGTGGAAGTACGATTAAAATGAACTACTAATTTTGTTGACGCAGAAAAATGGTTCTGCACTTTCCCCGCGCAACTTAGTGATTAAGTCTCTTCGGTATCTGATGTCCTCGGTAGGGTGTGCGATCTGTAAGATAGCAAACACACGGTAAATCCTAGGGCACCGGTGTGGTACCGGCCGAAGGCTCTCCGATGCTTAAGTAAGTACGGATTTAGTAAGTTTTAACTGCAGATCAATAGGCAGTATGCCGTAAGTTCTGATTGATTACCTTCAGGCTGGGATAGGTGTCCTCTTTTATAGGCCTTGGGAGGTGTGCAATTTGTTTAGAGTTTCGATGTGGGACTCTGGGCGTCAATCGTGGAGCTGCCACGTGCCAGAGTGGGCAAGGTTGCCCTAATGTTGTGATCGGTAGGTACAGTACCGAAGGTGAGTGCCGAAGGCACACGTAGCCCTGGCCTAGTCCACGTGGTTGATGTTCATTGGGTGTTCATTTTGGTATAAACAGGAGTCCCCCAAGTCCCCTTGCGAGAGTCTTCGGAAGGGGATTTGAATTCGTCCTCGGGAGGAAACACGGCCTTACCGTTCGGTAACCCCACTGGGGGAGGGGCAAAACCTTGTTCCTTCCGGCATGACCAGCTCAGAGGCTGACGTTGGTGAAGTCAGAAGGTCGCGTCGATCTGACGGGCGAAGAGACGTCTGAGCGCTTCGATTTCCGCGCATCGCGTGCCGTCAGTTCTCCATTGGGTGAGTGACACGTGGCGAAAGTAATGATGGCGCGCGGCGCATTAATGCGTCGTTTGGTTTTTCGAGGAGTACCGTTGCCAGCCATTTCCCCCTATAAATAGAGATGACCCCGGAGGCGTACTCACTTTGCGTCTAGTAGAAGTGAGAGCTCTGTCTGAGGCGATTTCCGACGAGGGCTTTCGGTAATCAGGCGATTTCCGGTGAGTGTTAACGGTAACCAGGCGATCTCCGGCGATTCGAACTGTAGGAGAGGCGATTCCCGGCATTGCGAACGGTAGTGAAGCATCCAGAAGAGCAGATAGCGCTTATCTTCCAGGGCACACCCTAAGGTACCGTTCGGCACCCTTCTCTTTACATGCTTTTTAGGGTTACGTCCTTCCTTGGTTCGAACTAGACTGACCATAGGGTTCCATTCGGTAGTCTAGTCGCCATAGGTAGCGATGTAGGAATCGGTAGGATAGCATCCGGCATGAGCCTTAGTTTCCCTTCTTCCTGTTTTTGTAGATGTCTGATAGCGAGTCATTTTCCGAGCGCGAGCCCAACGCGTTCGACGAGGAGTCATCGGACGGTCTCTTTGACTCCGACGGTGAAGCGGCAGGGCCCGATGCCAAGGGCGGGAGTGATACCGACGTCGAGATACTCGGCGAAGGGCCCAGCTCATTCCAACACACGGAGTCGGAAAGGGCTAATGACCGCTCCCGTCCCTTGTCCATCGTCTACAGTGACGGCCGCCACGTGGGCCTCGGTATGCCCGGGAGGCGAGCGGTAGCCGTCAATCGGACGCCTCCACTTCCGGTCGTGGAGAGTCGGTAGCCAATCCGCCATCTGGGCCCAGGGTATCGGTAGTGTACCCAAGCAATCCCAGGGTGCCCATGGGGGTGCCGAAGGAAAACTTATTCGGCGTGGACTATCTTGGGCCGAACAAGATTACCGATCGGGAGATCGCCAAGCTTCGAGCAGAGTACCACATTCCCGACTCGGTACGGATGAGAATCCCGGGTCCTACCGAATCCCTCAGTGCGCCGAAGGACGGCGAAATAGTTTTCTTTACCGACGTCCTTGTGCAAGGCGTTCGGTTGCCGTTGCAGCCGGCGGTGCAGAGGATTCTAGCCCAGATCGGCTACGCCCCGGGGCAATTCAACCCCAATTTCTGGGTGGCCCTCATGGGAGTGATAACGGCCTTCGGCATGGCCGGCGAAGGGAGCCCCTCCTATGAGCAGTTCTCCCATCTCTACAGTGTCACCAAGTCTAAGTGTGCCGACCACGGTGGATGGGTGCAGGCGAACTGCCTCAGGGCTGCCGATCGAGGCCCACTTTGTCAGCTGGGTACCGACTTCACAGAAGTCGTGGAGAAATCGGCGGGTGCTCCTCTCGGGCGACTGGGAGTCGCCTTCGGGACAGCCCTGTCCGATTTCGCATTCCTACAACCTTCCAGATGGCCGGTAGGTCCACCTGCCGTTCGGTACCTTCACTGAGTTATCTGTCTACCGTAAGTGACCCTTCCTTTCTCTTCTTTTGTAGGTAAGCTGAAGCAGCCGATCGCAACACAGGCCGAGATTCAGCAGGTGGAGAGAGTGAGGAGGAAAGTCCCTGCCGAGGAGAGAGTGTATCCGCAGTTCCTCTTCACCAACAATCTGATCCGGGCCCAACTGATCGATCCTGCCGAGAGTAAGTACACTTCGTATTTACGAATCGTTTCTTTTGTTCTGTTGCGGGTCTTACCGAACCCTTTTCTCGTAGTGACGGAAGACAGGAGAGCTGCCGAGGCCAAGAGGATGAACGAGTCCTCCAAGCGCCGTCTCATGATGGGCCTTCCAGGGGAAGAAGAAGAAGACCCAGCCGCAAGGCTCGGCATCGGTCGACCCAAGAGGACCAGACACTGGCCGACCGCCTCCGTGAGCTTAACGCCGAATCGGCACAGGCAGAGCGGCAGCGGCCGACCCTTCTCCCCGCCGAGGAGCCACTACCGAAGGGCTTCCTCCCGAGCGGCCGGCAAACGGCCTTTTACTGTCGATCTAGATGCCGAAACCGGCCCCCCAAAACGCGGACGGCAGGCCGAGCCAACTCGGGCCATCTTTGCCGCCGAAAATGACGAGGAGCCTTCCGATCCCGTCACCCTGGCCTGTCCGTCGAAGACGGTCCAGTTCGCGAACCACATGATCATTGGTTCGCAAATGGAGCTGAGCGAGATCGAGGAGCTGCCGAAGAGGCTCCTTCGGGAGGAGGCGGGTCGCGCCTTCCGTCTTCAGGCATCGGTAAGTCCAGAACACTCTCAGTCCAGGTTACCGATCATATTTATATCTTTGCTGACATGCTCGTTGTTCTGCAGGCTTCGATGGACATGTGGCTTTGCATGAAGCGGGCCATCAATGCCTCGAGAAGGCGAAGAAGGCCTACGACGACGGCAGGGCCAGGGTTGCCGAGGCTGGCAAGGCTATCCAGGACCATGCGAACCTGGTGAAGGACTTTGCAAGCTGCCGAACGGCAGGTCAAGGTTTATGAGTCCAAGTTCGCGGATCTGTCGTCTGCCCTGGAATCGGCACAGCTGTCGGCTAAGGAGGCTCTGGAGGCAAAGGATGCCGTTGAGGTGGCTCTGGAGGAGTCGGAGCGTGCCAAAGCATCGGAGATTGAGGCTGCCGTCCAGGAGGCCATTCGGAAGTATCGCCACTCTACCGAATTCTCTACCTTGCTCGACAAGGAGGTGGGCTCGGAGATGGTGGATCTCATCTACCGATTCAAGCGGTACAATCCTGGGACGAAGCTCAATCTGAACTTTATTGCCGATCCTCCTCCCCTTCCCGAAGGCGTCACAGGAAGAAATGATCGAAGAATACGAGGGGAGAGACGCTCCGGAGGAGACCGAAGCTGCTGCTGCCGAAGGGGCGGATGCCGAGGGCCCTTCATCCTGATCTCGGTCATTCTTTATGTACTTTTGATGCCGATGGCATTTTGTAATTTAATAGTGACTTTTATGCCGTTTGGCATCTTTGTTTGGATAATTAATGCCGTAGGCATGTTTTCATTTAAAGTTCATGTTTTCACTTTAGTATCTTTGCATCTTACTTTGAATCGGTAGCGTATTTAGGAAATTTTCCGTTTAATGCCGAAAGTTTTAAACAAAGGTCATTTGGCCGTTGGCCAGTGACTTTCCTTTTTACGCAAGGGGGTTCCGATTGTAAAGCAATGGCAAGTAATTGCCGAAAGCCTATAACGCCCAGTAAAGTTTACCAAGTTGTCTTTAATCGGTAGGATAATGGCGATGCCAAAATGCGTAGTTTGCTGCGACCGATGGTCCCTACCGTACCCTTTTTTTTTGAACAAAAAATGGAGAGATTTGAAAGGTATAACAAAGGTGAATATGTGAGCCGAAGGCCCTTTTATTGATAAACTGCCGAAGGCGAGTACAATTATGAGCGCGTTTTACAATATAGAACCCGCCGTTGGCTAGGGTAACGCTATAATGCCGAAGGCTGTGCTTGTAGAGATGCCGAAGGCTTTTGTGACTCCTCCGTGACCCTGCCGTAGGCAAGGTGACTTCATTTGAAATAGTACTTCAAATGCTCTACGTTCCAAGGATGACCGAGGGTCTTTCCGTTGGAGTCTCTGAGTCGATAAGTCCCCGATCGCTGGATACCGATGATTTCGTAGGGTCCCTCCCAGGAAGGTCCGAGGGTTCCTTCCGTGGGATTCTTGGTTGCCAAGGAGACTTTCCGCATGACCCAATCTCCGATTCGGAAAGAGCGGGATCTGACCCTGGAGTCATAGTACCGAGAGACGCGTTGTTTGTAAGCTTCGTTCCGAAGGTTGGCTTGTGCTCGGCGTTCTTCGAGCAGGTCGAGGCTCAAAGCGAGTGCTTCCTCATTTGCCTTCGGTGCGAAGGTTTCCGTTCGGTAGGAGGGCTCTCCAATTTCTACTGGGGACTACTGCCTCTGAACCGAAAGCCATAGAGAATGGTGTTTCCCCAGTTGCCGTTCGGTAGGATGTCCGGATGGCCCATAGCGCTTCGGAAGCTTTTCCGGGCCAGGCTCCCTTTGGCTTTGTCAAGCTGCCGTTTCAACAGCTTCTTGACAATTTTGTTCATGGCTTCGACCTGTCCGTTCGATTGGGGGTGTGCTGGCGAAGCAAAGAACAGGTTGATCTTGAGTCGGTGCAGAATTCCCTAAAGACTTCCGAATCAAACTGCCTGCCGTTATCCGTGACGATGGCGTAGGGGATGCCGAATCGGCAGCAAATATTCGTCCAGACGAAATCCTCGACCCTGGCTGCCGTTATTGTCGCTAGGGCTTTGGCTTCTACCCATTTGGTAAAGTAGTCTACGGCAACAACAGCGTATTTGACCTGACCCTTGCCCTCTGGCATCGGACCATTAGATCTAGTCCCCATGGGCGAACGGCCATGGGCTCACGATCGGTGACAGTGGCTCGGCAGGGAATATGAGGGACACTACCGAACCGTGGCATTTGTCACACCTCTTGACTAGTGTGTTCGCATCCTGGTGCAGAGTCGGCCAGAAATAACCCTGCCGGAAGACCTTGTGTGCGAGCGATCGGGATCCAGAATGGTCACCGCAGATTCCGCTGTGGACCTCCCGAAGGATGTAGTCCCCCTGCTCCTTGGTCAGGCATTTTAAATACGGCGTCGTGTAGCCCCGTTTGTACAGAACATCGTTGATGACTGTGTATCTTGCCGATCGGTAGCGAAGTTTCCGAGCTTGGGACTTATCGGTAGGAAGGGTTCCGGCTGTCAGGTAGGCATAGATTGGAGACATCCATGTGTCTTCGTACCGAACGGTACATACCTCAGCGGCGGTTGTACTCGGTTGGGATAATATCTCCACCGGTACCTTCCTTCCGATCTTGTCATTTATGGCCGAGGCCAATCGTGAGAGCGCGTCGGCGTGGCTATTTTCCGACCTGGGGATCTGCCGTATCTCGTAGGCCTGGAATTTTGTAGTAGTTGGTGGGCTGCCGATAGGTAGGCTGACATGGAGGCATCCTTTGCTGCGAAGTCTGCCGTTATCTGATTTACTATGAGCTGGGAGTCGCTGTGAATGCTGATCTGCCTCGCGCTCATGCTCTGGGCTAGCCGAAGGCCAGCCAGGAGGGCCTCATATTCTGCCTCGTTATTGGAGGTTCGGAAGTTGAATCGGAGGGCGTACTCGATTTTGCTACCGTCCGGAGTGGTTAACACTAAGCCGGCACCACAGCCTTGCTGGTTTGCCGAGCCGTCCACGTGCAGGATCCAGAGAGGAACAGAAGTGTCGAAACGTTCGGTATCCATTTTCTCTGGTGCGGTAGGGACGACGCTCGGCGATGATGGTTCCGATAAAGCAGGAGGGTGTGAGTCGGAGATGAAGTCGGCAACGGCCTGGCCTTTTTCTGCAGGCCTTGGCTTGAACTGTATGTCAAACTCTCCCAACTCGATTGCCCATTTGACCAATCGGCCCAGATGTTTCCGGCTTTTGGAGCACCTGCCGAAGAGGGCTGGTTCGTCAAAACTGTGATTTCGTGAGCCTGGAAGTAAGGGGCGAAGTCTTCGTGCCGAGACGACCAGGGCCAGTGCTAGCTGCTCCAAGGGTGGGTACCGAAGCTCTGCGCTCTGGAGCGCCTTGCTGACATAAAAGATCGGTAGCTCCGCCTTCTCCGGCTTCCTTATCAACACTGAGCTGACGGCAGTGTTGGATACCGAAAGGTATAGGAGTAGTACCTCGCCTGGCAGTGGTTTTGATAACAGTGGTGCCTGGCTCATGTAGTTCTTCAAGTTTTGAAATGCTTGGTCGCATTCGGGAGTCCACGTTATATGATGTTTGCCCCCTTTCAAAGCTTTGAAGAACGGCACGCATTTATCGGTAGCCTTGGAGATGAAGCGTGTCAGGGCAGCGACACGTCCGGTAAGGCTCTGAATGTCCTTCTGCGTCTTCGGGGTCTCCATGTCGATTATGGCTTTTATTTTCTCGGGATTGGCCTCGATTCCCCTTTGACTGATCATGAACCGAGAAATTTACGGAAGATACACCGAAGGCGCACTTCGCCGGGTTCAGCCCTCATTCGGTAGTCCTTTAGAATACCGAACATGAGGGCCAAGTTTTCCAGGTGATCCCCTGCCGTTCGGCTCTTTACCAACATGTCGTCGACATATACCTCCATGATGCCGCCGATGTATTTAGCAAAAATCCGGTTGACGAGCCGTTGGTAAGTTGCCCCCGCGTTCTTCAGGCCGAAGGGCATGACATTGTAACAGTACAAACCGCGATCCGTGATGAATGCCGTATGTTCTCTATCGGCAGGGTCCATGAAGATCTGGTTGTATCCTGAATACGCGTCCATGAAGCTGAGCAGCTCGTGCCCGGCGGTGGCATCGACGAGCTGGTCGATCCTCGGTAAGGGGAAACTGTCCTTCGGACAAGCCTTATTAGGTCGGTATAGTCCTGACACATTCGCCATCCTCCCCTGGCTTCCGAACCATGACTGAGTTGGCCAGCCAAACAGGGTACGTAGCTTCCCTGATAAAGCCGATGGCTTTGAGCTTGTCAACTTCGGCTCGCATCGCCTCGTACCGTTCGGCATCGTACGATCGGCGCTTTTGCCTGACTGGTTTGTGGGCGGGGGAGATGCTGAGCTTGTGGGTGATGACGTCGGGTGATATCCGGGATGTCGGATAAGACCAGGCGAAGACTTCCGCATGCTGCCGTAAGAAGAGCTGGTCTTATGAAGACATGCCCGGCATATCACCCGATGTCATCAGCCACAAGCTCAGCATCTCCCCGCCCACAAACCAGTCAGGCAAAAGCGCCGATCGTACGATGCCGAACGGTACGAGGCGATGCGTGCCGAAGTTGACAAGCTCAAAGCCATCGGCTTTATCAGGGAAGCTACGTACCCTGTTTGGGCTTGCCAACTCAGTCATGGTTCGGAAGGCCAGGGGAGGATGGCGAATGTGTCAGGACTATACCGACCTGAATAAGGCTTTGTCCGAAGGACAGTTTTCCCCTTACCGAGGATCGACCAGCTCGTCGATGCCACCGCCGGGCACGAGCTGCTCAGCTTCATGGACGCGTATTCAGGATACAACCAGATCTTCATGGACCCTGCCGATAGAGAACATACGGCATTCATCACGGATCGCGGTTTGTACTGTTACAATGTCATGCCCTTCGGCCTGAAGAACGCGGGGGCAACTTACCAACGGCTCGTCAACCGGATTTTTGCTAAATACATCGGCGGCATCATGGAGGTATATGTCGACGACATGTTGGTAAAAAGCCGAACGGCAGGGGATCACCTGGAAAACTTGGCCCTCATGTTCGGTATTCTAAAGGACTACCGAATGCGGCTGAACCCGGCGAAGTGCGCCTTCGGTGTATCTTCCGGTAAAATTTCTCGGTTTCATGATCAGTCAAAGGGGAATCGAGGCCAATCCCGAGAAAATAAAAGCCATAATCGACATGGAGACCCCGAAGACGCAGAAGGACATTCAGAGCCTTACCGGACGTGTCGCTGCCCTGACACGCTTCATCTCCAAGGCTACCGATAAATGCGTGCCGTTCTTCAAAGCTTTGAAAGGGGGCAAACATCATATAACGTGGACTCCCGAATGCGACCAGGCATTTCAAAACTTGAAGAACTACATGAGCCAGGCACCACTGTTATCAAAACCGCTGCCAGGCGAGGTACTACTCCTATACCTTTCGGTATCCAACACTGCCGTCAGCTCAGTGTTGATAAGGAAGCCGAGAAGGCGGAGCTACCGATCTTTTATGTCAGCAAGGCGCTCCAGAGCGCAGAGCTTCGGTACCCACCCTTGGAGCAGCTAGCACTGGGCCCTGGTCGTCTCGGCACGAAGACTTCGCCCTTACTTCCAGGCTCACGAAATCACAGTTCTGACGAACCAGCCTCTTCGGCAGGTGCTCCAAAAGCCGGAAACATCTGGGCCGATTGGTCAAATGGGCAATCGAGTTGGGAGAGTTTGACATACAGTTCAAGCCAAGGCCTGCAGAAAAAGGCCAGGCCGTTGCCGACTTCATCTCCGACCTCACACCTCCTGCTTTATCGGAACCATCATCGCCGAGCGTCGTCCCCTACCGCACCAGAGAAAATGAATACCGAACGTTTCGACACTTCTGTTCCTCTCTGGATCCTGCACGTGGACGGCTCGGCAAACCAGCAAGGCTGTGGTGCCGGCTTAGTGTTAACCACTCCGGACGGTAGCAAAATCGAGTACGCCCTCCGATTCAACTTCCGAACCTCCAATAACGAGGCAGAATATGAGGCCCTCCTGGCTGGCCTTCGGCTAGCCCAGAGCATGAGCGCGAGGCAGATCAGCATTCACAGCGACTCCCAGCTCATAGTAAATCAGATAACGGCAGACTTCGCAGCAAAGGATGCCTCCATGTCAGCCTACCTATCGGCAGCCCACCAACTACTACAAAAATTCCAGGCCTACGAGATACGGCAGATCCCCAGGTCGGAAAATAGCCACGCCGACGCGCTCTCACGATTGGCCTCGGCCATAAATGACAAGATCGGAAGGAAGGTACCGGTGGAGATATTATCCCGACCGAGTACAACCGCCGCTGAGGTATGTACCGTTCGGTACGAAGACACATGGATGTCTCCAATCTATGCCTATCTGACAGCCGGAACCCTTCCTACCGATAAGTCCCAAGCTCGGAAACTTCGCTACCGATCGGCAAGATACACAGTCATCAACGATGTTCTGTACAAACGGGGCTACACGACGCCGTATTTAAAATGCCTGACCAAGGAGCAGGGGGACTACATCCTTCGGGAGGTCCACAGCGGAATCTGCGGTGACCATTCTGGATCCCGATCGCTCGCACACAAGGTCTTCCGGCAGGGTTATTTCTGGCCGACTCTGCACCAGGATGCGAACACACTAGTCAAGAGGTGTGACAAATGCCAGCGGTTCGGTAGTGTCCCTCATATTCCTGCCGAGCCACTGTCACCGATCGTGAGCCCATGGCCGTTCGCCCAGTGGGGACTAGATCTAATTGGTCCGATGCCAGAGGGCAAGGGTCAGGTCAAATACGCTGTTGTTGCCGTAGACTACTTTACCAAATGGGTAGAAGCCAAAGCCCTAGCGACAATAACGGCAGCCAGGGTCGAGGATTTCGTCTGGACAAATATTTGCTGCCGATTCGGCATCCCCTACGCCATCGTCACGGATAACGGCAGGCAGTTTGATTCGGAAGTCTTTAGGCAATTCTGCACCCGACTCAAGATCAACCTGTTCTTTGCTTCGCCAGCACACCCCCAATCGAACGGACAGGTCGAAGCCATGAACAAAATTGTCAAGAAGCTGTTGAAACGGCAGCTTGACAAAGCCAAAGGGGCCTGGCCGGAAAAGCTTCCGGAAGCGCTATGGGCCATCCGGACATCCTACCGAACGGCAACTGGGGAAACACCATTCTCTATGGCTTTCGGTTCAGAGGCAGTAGTCCCAGTAGAAATTGGAGAGCCCTCCTACCGAACGGAAACCTTCGCACCGAAGGCAAATGAGGAAGCACTCGCTTTGAGCCTCGACCTGCTCGAAGAACGCCGAGCACAAGCCAACCTTCGGAACGAAGCTTACAAGCAACGCGTCTCTCGGTACTATGACTCCAGGGTCAGATCCCGCTCTTTCCGAATCGGAGATTGGGTCATGCGGAAAGTCTCTTGGCAACCAAGAATCCCACGGAAGGAACCCTCGGACCTTCCTGGGAGGGACCCTACGAGATCATCGGTATCCAGCGATCGGGGACTTACCGACTCAGAGACTCCAACGAAAGACCCTCGGTCATCCTTGGAACGTAGAGCATTTGAAGTACTATTTCAAATGAAGTCACCTTGCCTACGGCAGGGTCACGGAGGAGTCACAAAAGCCTCCGACATCTCTACAAGCACAGCCTTCGGCATTATAGCGTTACCCAAGCCAACGGCGGGTTCTATATTGTAAAACGCGCTCATAATTGTAATCTCGCCTTCGGCAGTTTATCAATAAAAGGGCCTTCGGCTCACATAGTTATACTTTCAAATCTCTCCATTTTTTGTTCAAAAAAAAAGGGTACGGTAGGGACCATCGGTCGCAGCTAAACTACGCATTTTGGCCTCGCCATTATCCTACCGATTAAAAGACAACTTGGTAAACTTTATTGGACGTTATAGGCTTTCGGCAATACTTGCCATTGCTTTACAATCAGAACCCCCTGCGTAAAAGGAAAGTCACTGGCCAACGGCAAGTGACCTTTGTTTAAACCTTCGGCATTAAACGGAAAAATTTCCTAACCGATTCAAAGTAAGATGCAAAGTACTTAAAGTGAAAACATAATTTTAATTAAAAACATGCCTACGGCATTAATTATCCAAACAAAGATGCCAAACGGCATAAAAGTCACAAAATTACAAAATGCCATCGGCATCAAAATTACATTAGAAAGGATGCTGCAAATCAGGATGAAGGGCCCTCGGCATCCGCCCCTTCGCCAGCAGCAGCTTCGGTCTCCTCCGGAGCGTCTCTCCCCTCGTATTCTTCGATCATTTCTTCTGTGACGCCTTCGGGAAGGGGAGGAGGATCGGCAATAAAGTTCAGATTGAGCTTTCGTCCCAGGATTGTACCGCTTGAATCGGTAGATGAGATCCACCATCTCCGAGCCCACCTCCTTGTCGAGCAAGGTAGAGAAATCGGTAGAGTGGCGATACTTCCGAATGGCCTCCTGGACGGCAGCCTCAATCTCCGATGCTTTGGCACGCTCCGACTCCTCCAGAGCCACCTCAACGGCATCCTTTGCCTCCAGAGCCTCCTTTGCCGACAGCTGTGCCGATCCAGGGCAGACGACAGATCTGCGAACTTGGACTCATAAACCTGACCTGCCGTTCGGCAGCTTGCAAAGTCCTTCACCAGGTTCGCATGGTCCTGGATAGCCTTGCCAGCCTCGGCAACCCTGGCCCTGCCGTCGTCGTAGGCCTTCTTCGCCTTCTCGAGCGCATTGATGGCCCGCTTCATGCAAAGCCACATGTCCATCGAAGCCTGCAGAACAACGAGCATGTCAGCAAAGATATAAATATGATCGGTAATCTGGACTGAGAATGTTCTGGACTTACCGATGCCTGAAGACGGAAGGCGCGACCCGCCTCCTCCCGAAGGAGCTTCTTCGGCAGCTCCTCGATCTCGCTCAGCTCCATTTGCGAACCAATGATCATGTGGTTCGCGAACTGGACCGTCTTCGACGGACAGGCCAGGGTGACGGGATCGGCAGGCTCCTCGTCATTTTCAGCGGCAAAGATGGCCCGAGTTGGCTCGGCCTGCCGTCCGCGTTTGGGGCCGGTTCGGCATCTAGATCGACAGTGAAGGCCGTTTGCCGGCCGCTCGGGAGGAAGCCCTTCGGTAGTGGCGCCTCGGCGGGGAGAAGGGCCGGCCGCTGCCGCTCCGGCCTGTGCCGATCGGCGTTAAGCTCACGGAGGCGGTCGGCCAGTGTCTGGTCCTCTGGGTCGACCGATGCCGAGCCCTGCGGCTGGGTTTCTTCTTCTTCCCCTGGAAGGCCATCATGAGACGGCGCTTGGAGGACTCGTTCATCCTCTTGGCCTCGGCAGCTCTCCTGTCTTCCGTCACTACGAGAAAAGGGTTCGGTAAGACCCGCAACAGAACAAAAGAAACGATTCGTAAATACGAAGTGTACTTACTCTCGGCAGGATCGATCAGTTGGGCCCGGATCAGATTGTTGGTGAAGAGGAACTGCGGATACACTCTCTCCTCGGCAGGGACTTTCCTCCTCACTCTCTCCACCTGCTGAATCTCGGCCTGTGTTGCGATCGGCTGCTTCAGCTTACCTACAAAAGAAGAGAAAGGAAGGGTCACTTACGGTAGACAGATAACTCAGTGAAGGTACCGAACGGCAGGTGGACCTACCGGCCATCTGGAAGGTTGTAGGAATGCGAAATCGGACAGGCTGTCCCGAAGGCGACTCCCAGTCGCCCGAGAGGAGCACCCGCCGATTCTCTCCACGACTTCTGTGAAGTCGGTACCCAGCTGACAAAGTGGCCTCGATCGGCAGCCCTGAGGCAGTTCGCCTGCACCCATCCACCGTGGTCGGCACACTTGGACTTGGTGACACTGTAGAGATGGGAGAACTGCTAGGAGGGGCTCCCTTCGCCAGCCATGCCGAAGGCCGTTATCACTCCCATGAGGGCCACCCAGAAGTGGGGTTGAATTGCCCCGGGGCGTAGCCGATCTGGGCTAGAATCCTCTGCACCGCCGGCTGCAACGGCAACCGAACGCCTTGCACAAGGACGTCGGTAAAGAAAACTACTTTCGCCGTCCTTCGGCGCACTGAGGGATTCGGTAGGACCCGGGATTCTCATCCGTACCGAGTCGGGAATGTGGTACTCTGCTCGAAGCTTGGCGATCTCCCGATCGGTAATCTTGTTCGGCCCAAGATAGTCCACGCCGAATAAGTTTTCCTTCGGCACCCCCATGGGCACCCTGGGATTGCTTGGGTACACTACCGATACCCTGGGCCCAGATGGCGGATTGGCTACCGACTCTCCACGACCGGAAGTGGAGGCGTCCGATTGACGGCTACCGCTCGCCTCCCGGGCATACCGAGGCCCACGTGGCGGCCGTCACTGTAGACGATGGACAATGGGACGGGAGCGGTCATTAGCCCCTTTCCGACTCCGTGTGTTGGAATGAGCTGGGCCCTTCGCCGAGTATCTCGACGTCGGTATCACTCCCGCCCTTGGCATCGGGCCCTGCCGCTTCACCGTCGGAGTCAAAGAGACCGTCCGATGACTCCTCGTCGAACGCGTTGGGCTCGCGCTCGGAAAATGACTCGCTATCAGACATCTACAAAAACAGGAAGAAGGGAAACTAAGGCTCATGCCGGATGCTATCCTACCGATTCCTACATCGCTACCTATGGCGACTAGACTACCGAATGGAACCCTATGGTCAGTCTAGTTCGAACCAAGGAAGGACGTAACCCTAAAAAGCATGTAAAGAGAAGGGTGCCGAACGGTACCTTAGGGTGTGCCCTGGAGATAAGCGCTATCTGCTCTTCTGGATGCTCACTACCGTTCGCAATGCCGGGAATCGCCTCTCCTACAGTTCGAATCGCCGGAGATCGCCTGGTTACCGTAACACTCACCGGAAATCGCCTGATTACCGAAAGCCCTCGTCGGAAATCGCCTCAGACAGAGCTCTCACTTCTTACTAGACGCAAAGTGAGTACGCCTCCGGGGTCATCTCTATTTATAGGGGAAATGGCTGGCAACGGTACTCCTCGAAAAACCAAACGACGCATTAATGCGCCGCGCGCCATCATTACTTTCGCCACGTGTCACTCACCCAATGGAGAACTGACGGCACGCGATGCGCGGAAATCGAAGCGCTCAGACGTCTCTTCGCCCGTCAGATCGACGCGACCTTCTGACTTCACCAACGTCAGCCTCTGAGCTGGTCATGCCGGAAGGAACAAGGTTTTGCCCCTCCCCCAGTGGGGTTACCGAACGGTAAGGCCGTGTTTCCTCCCGAGGACGAATTCAAATCCCCTTCCGAAGACTCTCGCAAGGGGACTTGGGGGACTCCTGTTTATACCAAAATGAACACCCAATGAACATCAACCACGTGGACTAGGCCAGGGCTACGTGTGCCTTCGGCACTCACCTTCGGTACTGTACCTACCGATCACAACATTAGGGCAACCTTGCCCACTCTGGCACGTGGCAGCTCCACGATTGACGCCCAGAGTCCCACATCGAAACTCTAAACAAATTGCACACCTCCCAAGGCCTATAAAAGAGGACACCTATCCCAGCCTGAAGGTAATCAATCAGAACTTACGGCATACTGCCTATTGATCTGCAGTTAAAACTTACTAAATCCGTACTTACTTAAGCATCGGAGAGCCTTCGGCCGGTACCACACCGGTGCTCTAGGATTTACCGTGTGTTTGCTATCTTACAGATCGCACACCCTACCGAGGACATCAGATACCGAAGAGACTTAATCACTAAGTTGCGCGGGGAAAGTGCAGAACCATTTTTCTGCGTCAACAAAATTAGTAGTTCATTTTAATCGTACTTCCACTCCAAACTCATCAAAATGACAAAATGATTTTTAACATAACCAATATCCCGTGATTAAGAGTTAAAACAAACTAGATTAGCACTAATTGGTATATTAATGTTGAACTTCTCGATGATCCCATTTCTTCACATATAGAATATAATTAAAACCGAACTCTCTTACAATCTTATAAAAAACAAAGCAATCTTTTGATATGCACGACTAAACTTCTTAGTTATTTTAATAAAAGAGCGATAGTATTTTATTGACAAGAAAACAAGTACAAAGCAACTAAAGTACTGAATATGGTTAAGCAATAAGTAGTTGAACTAAACTTCATATAAGCATATGTTGATTGTGTCGTTTTATCCAACCTAGTTCAATCCCCTGGCTAAAAATCTCATCCCACAAGATTGCCGAATAAACTTGAGGTCCAAATAAAAGATAAGATACGCGGCTTTGTGAACCGTGATTTCCCCAAAAGACAAGAGGAGCCCATACCTGCTACCAAACAAGCTGAAGTTGCTGGGAGACAAGTGGACAAGCGTGGATGTGGATCCATATAAGCCAACCAAATCGATAATTTCTATTTGCAGAAAAAGTAAACGTATTGATTGTGTGTCACCAAATTATTAATTATGGTAATTAGCATCACTAAATTATTGATGCTTCAGTAAATCATTATCTTAATAGATGCAGTGGATTTGTCATTGTCACTAATGGATCCAAATTACTTATATTTTATTCGATGGCGTCCAAATAAACAACTGTGTATTAGTAGTTTGTTGATATCCATATTTTATAATTCTAACATCAACTTCCATATGTATATTTCACACTTATATATAATAATATAACTTTAAAAAAAATTCAAACAATTATATAATTATATTCCATTGTTGAAAACTAAACAAGCTTAGTTCATGACCTAATCAAGCTAATTAGCATTTAAAAAAGCTAACAACTCCTTTAATTAAGATACTTCCCGAGGCAGTGACCCATTAGCCTCTGTAAAAAGCCTGTCACTTGTTATAACAAACAACAACAGTGACCTTGTGACGAAGGTTGCTCAATAATTTCAGGTAAAAAATTGGGATTACCTTTTTCTAATTGCCTCATGGGCTGTCCGCACTTACTTTTTGCGTTCCATTTTCGTCTCTGGCACGGTAATATCATGTGGCATATGTTATATGTGTTTTTATAAGTTCATTCAAATATAACATTTATAAATTGAAAAATTGCATGCGTACTCATTACCAAATATTTGGCTATAAACTCTAAAAATTATACTTGTGTTATAATATAGGTTTATGAGAAAATCTGATGTCTCATGAGGAGTATATTACTTTCTCCACAACACTTATTATGTGACCATGTTATGTGACAAGTGCTATAAACAAAGGATATATCCCAGATTGCAAGTAATATTCTCTCATAGACATAAATTCTATGTGCGATATTGTCGAAAATGTATCGATAACATGTTGACATATTTATTGTCGAAATTAATATCGACACATTATAAATGATATATCAACAATTCATTTTTAATAAAGAATGGACGTCTAAATTATAGTTGGACTTCTCTATTGAATTCATAATTCCACACATGTCACGTCATGTTACTGACACCGTACCTAAGTAAGTAGTAAAAATAAAGAATAAAAGAAGAGAACAAACAAGTTCCAAGTTGTAGACTTATTTGGCAGTTGATTGCAACAGATGATATTCCCGGAATACTTTATCCACTATATTCACTCTCTGGTCTCAACTGCAAGTTGTAAAAAAACTTAAAAAACAACTAATGGATTCCATGGAATCACACCAACCCTGCAGATTATTACCATTACTGAATCCTTCTCTTCCTCTCAAAACCTTTCTTCCTAGAGAGAACTTTCCCAGAAAACGGAAGAAAAATCACTGCTTTCCCAGAAAATGGTCGAGCCAGAAGAGGAAAGCCGAACTCAAGCCATTCCGCCAAAGTCAAAGAACATAGTGGACGACAGAGAAGCTGCGCTCATGGAGTTTGATCTTGACCTCGATGCTTTTTGGCCGTTGGATCCGATTCACTTTCCTTCTAAGCCCACGTCCCCTCCTTTGTTCTCGTCCACTGACCAGCCCTGTTCTCCTTCATGGGGTTTTCCTGATGGTGATGCTGATAATGATGATAAGCTCGCTGGACAAGTTGATCAAGCTCTTTCTGACTGTCCTCAATTCAGTTCCTGTGAGTTTTTCATATTGGGTTGTGTTCTTTTGTTTTTTCTTTTTGGGTCGATCAGTTTTCTCTGTCTTACCATTGAATATGGTTTTTCTGAATCATAGAAGTTTGTGTGTTCACTGTGATAATCATAGAACTCAGCTGAACAAATGCTTTCCTGGGCAGTGTTCGAAAAATCGGCCTAGGCGGCTAGGCGGTCGTGTCCTTTTAAAAAAAAAATTATATAAATAGATTTTTTTTCCTGACGTTAAACATTTATTTGGTATTGAGCAATAAAATTGTACTCTTCGAATTAAACAAGGGTCAAAAAGTGTTTCCTTTACTCGTTTCTCAATTCTCTGCAACTAAAGAGACTATACCTGTTATACTGAAAAGGTTGCATTTTTACATTCCTGCTGGGCCAGGAATTGAATTCGGAGACCTTGGTTCCTCTGAAATGAGTTCTCCTTGTTCATTTATCTTCTATCTGGTCTGAATATTCTTAGAATTTGAAGTCAACCATCTAAAAAATAAAAATTTCATGGGAACTTTTGTCTTTTTGGCCTGAAATTCCTAGGAATTGAAAACACATTTCATTGGCTTAACATATTGCTTCAGTTAGCATTTTGCAGTTGTTGAGTAGCAGTCAGGAGGTTCACTCATTTGAGTTTTCTCTCATATAATATCACAAAAATGCAGGTATTCCTGATCCAGGAAGGGAAATACCAAGAGAGAATGAGGACAGAAGAATGCTTACATCCCCCTTTTTGGGACTGGAACTTGTTGAAAATCCTGATGCTTATTGCTTAATTAAAGAGAAGATCACTCAAGCTCTGAGACAGCTCAAGGAATTGACTGACCAACATGTTCTAGCTCAGGTTTGGGCACCAGTGAAGAATGGGGGTCGGTATGTGCTCACAACTTCAGGGCAACCCTTTGTTCTTGATCCTCATACTAATGGACTTCATCAATATAGGATAGCTTCTCTGATGTATATGTTTTCTGTGGATGGAGAGAGTGATGGAATGCTTGGGCTCCCTGGCCGTGTTTTCCAACAAAAATTGCCAGAATGGACCCCAAATGTTCAATACTACTCCATCAAAGAGTATCCACGGCTTGGTCATGCTCAGCATTACAATGTTCAGGGAACCTTAGCTTTGCCTGTGTTTGAACCCTCTGGACGGACCTGTGTTGGTGTTCTTGAGCTCATAATGACTTCTCCGAAGATCAACTATGCTTCTGAGGTTGATAAAGTTTGCAAAGCACTTGAGGTTGGTTTATTATTTTATTTTTTGAGCATATATTAGTATTACATATTGTGTCATGCTCTTATTTAAACAAGCTTAGTGTACTTATTTGGTAAATTGATGGCTTTTGTTTTCATTTGAATACTAATACGGTTATATGAGTGAGCTTCAAACATGAAGAGGTTTGTCAGTGAAAAATTTTCATTTCTCCTGCAGGCAGTAAGTCTGAAAAGTTCAGAGATATTGGATCATACAAGCATGCAGGTGAGCTGCAATAACAATGTGTGCCTAATTTGGTATTCTTTTGGAACACTAGAAAGTAAATATGGATTTCTTCTATCATTTCCTCCTCCATTCTCACAGATATATGCTTGGCACTTCTTGTAACCAGATTCAAATATGCAATGAAGGTCGCCAAACTGCATTGACTGAAATCTTGGAGATACTGACACTGGTGTGTGAAACTCACAAATTACCACTTGCTCAGACCTGGGTTCCTTGTATGCATCGCAATGTTTTGGCTTATGGTGGTGGCCTGAAGAAGAGCTGTACTAGTTTTGATGGTAGTTGCATGGAACAGGTCTGCATGTCCACAACCGATGCGGCATTCTACATTGTCGATGCTCCTATGTGGCATTTTCGAGAGGCCTGTGTTGAGCATCATTTACAAAAGGGTCAAGGGGTTGCTGGGAGGGCATTTTTGTCCCGTAACGCATGCTTCTGCAGAGACATTACCCAGTTCTGCAAAACGGACTACCCTTTAGTACACTACGCACGCATGTTTAAGTTAACCAGCTGTTTTGCAATCTGCTTACAGAGCACTCATACTGGAAATGATGATTACATTCTAGAATTTTTTCTTCCCCCGAGCATCACAGACAGTTATGAACAACAAACTTTGTTGGGCTCCTTATTGGCAATAATAAAGAATCATTTCCAGAGTCTCAAGGTTGCTTCTGGAATTATACTTGAAGAGGAAGGGCTTGTCGAAATGGTTCAAGCTTCTACAAACAAGGGACTTGACTCAAGACTTGAATGCATACGTATACCCCGTTCTGCGGAAACACCACCTGGGCCTGCCTTACCTAATGGAGAAGAGATGGTGCAGCTAGATTCATCAAAGCCACAGTTAATGGTGGACTTTGATCCTGCAAATGATGGGAGCAATGCTGTTAATGAGGGTGGAGAAAACAATATTTCTTGTCCGGAGAATAAAGACATAAAAAAGAAATCAGAAAAGAAACGAGGAAAAGCAGAGAAATCAATTAGTCTAGAGGTTCTCCAACAATATTTTGCTGGGAGTCTTAAAGATGCTGCTAAGAGCCTTGGAGGTATGCTTATGCACTTAACATATTGTTTCTTACAATTATGCTCATGTTGTCTCAACAAATGCTAAAATCTTTATTTACAAAAAGCTAGTGTTTTTGGTTTCAGTAGTAATTGAGATAAATTGTTCTGAACGAAATTCTTGCTTTGCAGTTTGTCCTACTACAATGAAGCGCATCTGTAGGCATCATGGAATCTCCCGCTGGCCATCTCGCAAGATCAAGAAGGTCAACCATTCTCTCTCTAAGCTACAGCGTGTGATTGAATCAGTCCAAGGTGCTGAAGGAGCATTTGGTTTAACTTCTCTTACTGCAAGTCCACGTTCTGATGCTGTCGGGTCAATTTCTCGGCCTTATATCTTAAATGGGTTTAATCAGCAAAGCTCACCAAGCTCTAAACCCAGTGAACTTCATGGAGAAAAGAAAGACTCACCCACCCCTACTACACCAGGAAAAGAGGGGCAGGCTTTGATAGAAAATCAGTTGCTATATGGGGGGATTCTGAGTCAGGAAGAACTTCTTCTGGAACATGGCAGGTTTCTGCTAGACAATGGTAAAGGCTCAAACACATCCAAAACGGGAAGCAGCTCAAGGGAGGCGAGTGCTGGTACCCCTACTTCTCATGGATCATGCCAAGGTAGTCCTGCAAATGGAAATGCGTTGGTAAACAATCCCTTTGTTCCTTCCATCCATGATTTATGCATCGAAGTGAATGGCTTCCCTGAATCAGCAGTTCGACCACCAAAGGAACCGGATTTATCAGTTGCATGCTCAATACCCGATACTGTCCTGATGACAGATCCCGAAGAACCATGTAGAGGAATGCTAATAGAGGATGCTGGAAGTTCAAAAGATTTGAAAAATCTGTGTCCTCAAGTAGACGCTATGGTGGACGAGCAAGTTCCAGAAGCTTGTTGTACAAACCCCCCATGTTCTGATTCCGCTCTAAAGCCATCCAACACAACGCCACAAATCATAGCTAGGCAAGAAATGAAGAGTGTGACCATAAAGGCTACGTATAAAGAAGATATTATTCGGTTTCGTATATCTATGAGTTCTGGTATTGTGGAGCTGAAAGATGAAGTGGCAAAGAGATTAAAACTGGAAATGGGCACATTTGATATCAAATATGTGGATGATGACCTGGAGTGGGTTCTGGTAGCCTGTGATGCAGACCTGCAGGAGTGTATGGAAATTTGTAGATCATTAGGCATAAAAATGATCCGACTCTCAGTTCATGACATTATGTCCAATTTTGGAAGCTCTTGCGGGAGCATGTAGGAATCAGGATTAAATTGTAAATATGTTTAGTAACTTAGTTTAAGTGAAGAAATAAGTACTTTTTCTTCTTCTTCTTTTTTGGTCTGACAAAGTGTAGGTATTGGTTCTTTGAGGTTGCTTCAGTTTTGCCCCCTCATTGCCTCGATTTCAATGTGTTATTTGTTACAGTTGAAAGAAAAATTGCTACACACAATCACATTGACATGCAAGTATTTTCCTTCTGATATTACCTCCTTTAGCCTCAACATTGCAGCTGTCTGAAGTACCATTTTTAAGAGCTTGGAGCATTAGCTACTCTCTACCACCACAAAACGTGAGAGACTTGTACGTCAAGTGGTTAAGGTGCCTTACAATCAGGCCATTTTTTCGATGCTCCCTCCTTAATATCTCTTGTATTAAAAAAGGAAAATGTATCCACAAATCAAAAAGCTGCTTTTTTTATAAACAAGCCTTGACCCTTGATCATTTCAAGGTAAACATAGATACATGGTCCTCATAGTTCCCGGTACAATTATGAAATTATAATATTTCATATGGCATAAGTATAAAGTCGCTCATGCCACAGAGTGACACATAAAACCATGTAACCATGTATCTATCGTTATGTAATGGAACTATTTGTACCATAGTGACCATATTGTGGTCTCACACAAAACAAAAAACATAGATAAAGTCCGACCTTTATCAAAAACTTCTATTTCTTTGATGGGATCCGCTTGTCCGACTCATTGGACGGCAGCGGAGATTATACACGGCGGAGTTGCTCATGTCCCGTGGTGAGGAGCACTACCATTCTGAGTAGTACTGCCTATCTTTTTGGGTTCATCTCCGTCGGAAACCACCTCTGTCAAACTCACCTGCCTAGCTTTCCTTTCTGCCAACAGTCTCTTTGTATTCTTGTAGTATGTGGCGTAGAGAATCAGCTGGCCCGACCCAAAAAGTAAGCCCAGCCCATTGGGAATCTGAAAATGAACACACCACAGGCCCCATTTATTTTATTTTATTTTCGGGGTAAAACACAAAGAAACTACAAAGATAAAAATTATTTACTTCATGAAGAAACCCATGTGCATGTTTGCCTTTTCAGGTTTATCCAGACCCAAAAGGAGATAAGCAATAAATGCATGGCAATAAATAATTAGGAAATGTTTTTAATTATTTTAAAATATAAAATTATTGTCCATTAATTTAGATTTTAGATGGATGGAGAATTATTATAATTAGAGTTTGAGAAGTTTACAGTCAAGAAGATGTCGAAACGGATGAGAGCAAATGAAAACCAGGCAAGACCATTGGCAAAGGAAAATAACGAGAGGCAAAACGGCATGAATTCCACACTCTTTGTTGTAATCACCAATTTCTGTCATGCACAAGAAACACAATAGAATTAGAATGGCCGGTTTAAATGCCCTGCCCTAATACTGGATACTGTAAATTGATACTCATACAGCCAAATCAAAGCCCAAAATGAAATATATATATATATATATATTTATAAATGTATTTTAGAAATATGATTAGGGTAATTACCATGACAGCGAGAGGTGAAGCATACATCATGATGTTACATAGAATGCAAACGATGCCCACAATAAGTGACCTCCTCTCGTATGTATGGGCCAAAATGAGAACCGTGAGGACAAGAAGAGCCATGAGCACGAGCTCCACAAGTAAAATCAGAAGCACTTTGAGCCTCTGCTTCTTGTCAGACGCGTAGATGAGGAAGAGGATGATGTAGGAAAGCTCAATGAAAATGGCAGAGCCATTGATGGTCACCACCAGAATACTGTGGGGGTGCACCATAGGCAATCCGTAGAGGGCCCACACCATGCAGTTGGCTAGGGTTGCAAGGTATGGGGCTGGTGAGTATTGCTCCACTGAACCTTTTTCCATATTCGAACAAAAGTCGGCCTGGAAATGAGAATTATTAGTGTACAGTGTGTTAGGACAAAAATGTTTTCAACTTCAAATATGGGAAAAATGGACGAGGTGGAGGTCCTAAATGAGGCACCATATCTTTATTAAACTATCTTGAGAAAAACTTAAGATAATGTAAAATCATGCATTTACCAAATTTTGTGTGAAATTCAACAAAATTTTAATACCTGTAAAATTGTTTATATTCTCTGTTTTTTTAAAAAAAAATATCACTCTGCCTTGAAGAATTAAAGAAATGGAGAAGAACCATGCTTACACTGGTGACAGGAACAAAATGAGTGAGATAACGTTTCCTGAAAAATAAGCAAAAATAAAAAAAAATTGCCGACATCAAGTTTGAGTCTCAGAAGATATAGAGCAATCTATATATACATGAAACTGAAAGAAACGAACTTCAATTCCTCACTCAGCACTTGTTTTGAGTTTAAAGATGCTAATTGCACTCTAATTAACTCACCTATGACACCGACCACGGTTCGAACAACATCTGCAGAAACCATGGCTGTGACTAAATCTAATTGATTAAGCTAACTGAAGAAGAAGGAAGAAGGAAGAAGAAGAAATAGAAAGAAAGAAATAAGGTGATGAAACTAGATGAGCTGAAAGGAGAGTGAGATGGAAGGAAGGAAGGAGAAAATGAGGAGAGGAGGATTGTCTTGTTTAGTTTTGGTAGTTTGGATAGTAATTTGTAACCCTCTGAGCTGTTAGGTCACTTGCATGGCATGTATTGGGTGGTGCAACTTATAGCAACACATGGAAGAGGATCAAGTGCCCCTTAAACGGTGGATTAAGGGAATAATGCCCTTCATCCAAAGGATGAGAGAGAGAGAGAGAGAGAGAGTTTGCCTTTGACTTTGGCACTTCCTTCAAGATTCTCAGAACCCTAACGTTAAAAGACTCTCTGCTAGCAAACGTTACAGTGCTTAGAAAGTGACTTTTTTATAATAAAAAATTCTCAGAGGCTTTTTCATAGATTTAGAGCCGTAATCCATTGCTTTCCCACTGAATCCATTATTTGGGTGCATTTTTGCTATTTGGGTCCACAAAAATCCAGTTATTATATAATTGCTTTATTTTTGTGTGCAAATTTACAGTGATTAAAATTCACATTTTCTATTATTTAGAGGAAGCAGTAGGTTTCAATTCCATTTAACCGAAAAGAATATGTACAAAAGAGCATGAAAAAGTGGCATCGTTAAAATCTTTCTGAGAAAAACCACGTGGGATAAAAAAAATTCACATTTTTCACTTTTATAAAGAAAATATATATTAATTTTTGTGCCACATAGCTAGCTAGCTGGGTAGCCAAGTTTAGTTGGTGCAATTTCTGATGGTACAACTTAGATCAGATGCTCCATATAATTACGGATTTGGCTTTCTTTTTATATATTTTATTTTCTTCTAAGAATAATTGTGAGCAGAGCAGGTGGGTCATAGATTTTTTGTTTTTTTCAATAACTGGACGGCCATCGACATCTTTAAATAATAAAAAATATTACAATTTATCACTGGTGAAAAGGGAAAAGGAAGAAATTAAATTCGAGAGGTCCACATGAAGTACAATGGTGGGTGACAAGTGAGTCACACCGTCTAAGTTCGAATGTGAGTTGGTCATGCATTCAATTAACGTTGCCTAATATTGATCATGATATCTTGTCTTTGTTAAGTAATTTAATTAGCATCAAGTTCAACACAAAAGCATGTGTATAAAATCAGTTCTAATAATTTAATTATAAGAGATGTGATAAGTAAATAGGGTTAATTATAGTTTAGCATCTATAAGAGAGATGTCAAATACCAAACATCAAATTTAAATTTTATGGCTGATGTGGCCAGTTGACATATTGTAAAACTCTTTATTCAACAAAGATGTCAAATATACATTTTATTTTATTATTTTTAAAGGCAGGTGGGCTCGGTATTTAAGAGTAAAATATTAAATAGGGTTAAGAACTGTATATGGAAGAGGAGAGAAGTGGGCTCAGCATTAAAATAATAAATAAAAAAACAAAAAGACGTCTCAACATGTTGGCGTCAATTTTGACAGCAAAAGTGAAGGACGTCAATCCAACTAGGATTTGGCATCATTGTTGGAAGGCTTAAAATGTCTTTTTCTTGGGTTAAAACTTGCCACGTTGGAATTGGCATTTCGGTTGGAGATGCTCTAAGGCATGTTAATTCCTATATTTTCAATTTTTATAATTAGATACTCCAGTCTTTTAAATTTGTTACAATGTGTTTCCGTCGTTAGGGTTTTCGTCAGATCTCACCATTAGTTACCTACGTGGCATTATAGGGCCCACATCTTCGCTTGTTTTATTTTTTTATTTTATATATATTAACTTGATCTTGATTTGTAGCACGGGGGACATTTAATCTGGCCAAAAAGAACTAACATCAGATACAAAGGCATCAAGATTTCAGTTAAAGTGAGTGAGCCAGCAGTCCAAAACACGACTGATAACAGATACGTATAGACTAATTAGGTCACCCTGTCCACCGAATCGACCTGAAAGCAATCCAAAAATTTGAGAGACAGTTAACTATCTTTTTCGTTGAAACTGTTGGAGTTTACTTTTCTTTTCTTTTGTGTGTGTGTGTATGTGTGTAATGGCCAATGTCCAACACCGATTTGCATGAATAATTCTCTATGCTTTGATACGATTCTGTTCATCAAATCATTCAGAAGGTGCCCTGCTACGTGCACAAAACAGAGAAATTGCACCAATATTATATATAATTCCACCCCCCCTTTGATCACGATGGTAATATTCTAATGTGAATTGATGCATGTTTTGGTTTATATTATATGTTTGAATTGGATTTCGATTCATATTCATCTAACCCTTTACGAAGGTGTACAAAAAACAGGCCTATGGATTTCGATTCATATTCATTTAGCCATTATTTACATATTATAATAATATATACGAAGTGCATTTGGATTATTTGAAGAACACTTTTTGACTTTCAGTGCACCTGTCAATCTATGGCACCATGCCACTGCCACCACACCAGTGACATAGAGTCACGGGTTTTTTATATTATAAATGGTTCATGCCTTTCGCGGAAGCTTCTATTATTAAACCCAAAAACTGGTGAAATGTATGGATATTTTAATTTTTTACCAAAAGGGTGGGAAAATAAATCACTGGATATCACTCGTTAGCTTATAATTACAGTTCTAAGCACTTCTAGCCGACAGCCCAACCCTAGCAAAAGGCATTTAGGTCAAGAAATGCAGCTTCGGTGGTACAAAACAGCCCAGGCAAGGCGTGGGGTCCACTAAGCCTTGGCAAGCCCGAAAGCAAGAACAGCCCGAGTTGTTGCATGAGAACTGTGATGTCAGTAATGACATCAGTAACAACAAAAATTTTAAAAAATCGAAAAAAATTCAGAATTTTAAAAAAATTAAATACTTAACCATATTTTTCACTTCCCACACCAAAACTCTATATAAATTATTCTCCTCATAACTCATGTGAATAGTGGTTGCCTTTGGATTGTCATGACAATGAGTGAAATACCAAAAATAAAAATTTGCTAGGATAGGCACTATTTATGTGAATAGTAACAACCCTTGCCTCCATTTGCCTTTTGCCAAGGCAATAGGAGGAAATGCTCTAAGAGTACTTTCATCGGTGGATTTTACCATAACAAAAGCCCCCCTGGGCTGGCAAAACCCATCCCACCAAGCATTTGCAGCCCGGGCAGGAGGTGGGGTCCACCAAGATTGGGCAAGTCACAAGCCCAAAGGCAAGATCATCCCAAGCTGCTGCCTAAAGGCGCTGATGTCATGGAATAAATTTAATATTTTTTAATGCTACCTCATGTGCGTCGAACACCAAACAAAAAGTGGTGTGCGCCACATGGCGTCTCCTAGGGAGTCCAATGCAATTTTTTTTTCCTTCATCCAACGGCTACCAATTTTTGTGTAATAAAAATTGGTAAAAATACCAAAAAAAATAAATACCTAACAATATTCTTCATTTTCCAAACCAAAACTTCATACAAATTCCTCTCCTCATATAATAAGTATAAGTAAAATTTATCTTATCAAAATTAATCTCATAAGTATAAATAAAGTTAATCTCACGTGAATAGTGATTACCCTTGAGTTGCCATGACAATGGCTGAGAAAACGAAAAATAAAATAAAATTGCTTGGCAGACACATTCACATGAATAGTAATATACCTTGCTTACCTTTATCCTTTGCCATGACAAATGGGTGAAAACGCTCTAAAGCCTCTAGTAGCCAATTTTGAAAGATTATGATCATTTGCTAATCTTTTTGGTACTAATTTTGTGCTTTTGAATATAAATAATTCCGTTTCTTGTTTAAAATATGAGCGTTTTAGATTTAGGGTTTAGTGTTTAGGATTTATATTCAACAAGTAATAACTAGAAAAGAAAAAGAAAAAAAAAGTCTAAAGTGACCTAGCTTTAAACTTGGACATACAATCAACACCATACAAAAGCTTCCACAGAGAATTCAAACTCAACTTTGACACTTACTAATTCTCTTGAATGATGGAAGAGGGAAATTGGGAAGAACAATGCAATCTTTTGAGTCTCATGCAGAAGTTTAGCCACACAAATGCATCCAAAATCAACCTACTCATGATGCAGACCAATGGTTAAGTCACAGCACACACACACACACTTGAGACATCAACTAGTGGCAGAAGAATTGAGTCTCTATCAACAAACCGGCAGTGTTTCAAATCAATGGCAAGGCTTGCATTTGCATATTAGGCCGGCATAGGGTTTGATGCGAACATATTCCTTTCATGTATGAGATTAATGATGTATATCTGTCTCATGAATCAAATTCTGATAAAGACTAATATTTGGACTGACATGAAGGAGGAAAGATGGGACATGACTTTGTGTACAAAGTGTGAGGCTCAAAAATTTACAGCACCAAAAAGAAAAAAGAATTGGCAAATATTTCATTTCAAGTCAAGTCATAGACATATATATAAATATTATATTCTACCATGTCGATGACCTATGGCCCCTTGTAGTGTGTATTATGGAACTACGTACCTTTTCTCCTAATCACTACCTTCAAATTCTTGTTCTTTGTTATCTTAATATCTAAATGAGGAATAATATTTCTCTTCATCACTCAAGTATTTCATGCCAAGGTGTTGATGGACCCAATATAAGGCCAATGCTCATCTAATTTCATTTGTCAAAATTACGTAATACTTTCGAATAGCGTTAGGTTCGTCAAATTTATTTACCAAATATGTTTATCGAACATTATGCCTTGTGCATTAGGTATAAATGATGTTACAATGTAGGCTCTCGGATTCGAGCAAGTGACAACATTATTCGGTGAGCGTAGTAGTGGTGAAAAAAACTTACCTAAGGTGTCTAATAATTGATGAGAACCTTGAATTCTTTTATTTATTTTGTGTCTTTAATTATTCTCCTTTTCAAGTTGTCACATTAAAGAGAAGTCTTTACTTTAATTGGGTTGCCATCAACCC